GCCAGTGGTCATTCCGAATGGTTAGAGGCGAAAAGAGCATATATGCCTGTCGAGGAAAAGTTTAATGTGTGGCTAAATTCTTCGGAAAATCTGTCTGAGAGCGGTTTTAAATAAGCCGTTTCGTTTTCTGGACCCAGTTTAGGTTAGACGAGGCTTCGCAAATGTGCTTTAATTTTTGATGCAGCTTGTCAAGCTGCACGATAGACGAGGCCTTTGCAGGTTTTCTTTGAAGGACGTTGCACTCTTACTGTTGTAAGAGTGAAACTAAAAAACAGCTGTTCAAAGGGATTCAACTGCTGTCGCCCGATGCGATCGGTCTATGCATCACTTCATGGCATATTTTAAAATTAAATAAAATTGGGCCCAACTATGATGGATTAAAAAAGTCATCGAAACTACCTTCCCCTCTTAAATAGTGGACGATTATCAACCTTTTGTTTGGTGGCATTGTTGTGATGATGTTGTTAATATTGATGATTATGATGACGAAGAAGATACTAGTGATAAATATGAAGATGACAATATGATGACGATGAAGATGATGATGATTATTATGCTGATGATAATGGTGGAGGTGATGTTTTATTGGACTTGAGATCCGAGGAAAAAAGCATCGGGATCACTTTCGGAATGCCCGTGTTCCTACACTTCTGTTTAATGCTTTCAAATTGAGCCTTTAATGACTGTTGCGCTTCCAACCAGCCACCAATCCTTCCGGAGGAGGAAATAATCTGCAGTTGCTTGTTATATCTTCTGATAATGTATGAAATTTTTACAATTTCACTTCGCGGTAGGCTTCGCGAATAACAGTAAATCTTACATAAGAGTTCTAGTCCCCCATGATCTAAGCCTGCTTCGTATAAATATAAGTAATATAGTGTATCGTAGTGAAGATATAAAAGTTTGTTTCATTGAAAATCCCACTTCAAAAATGTGATATTGGAAATGCCTGGAAATTCACTTATTCCTTGTGGAACACAATGACACTAAACAGTGTGGCGCAGTGGCAACATGTGGGAATTATAACACGCAATGGCCGGGATTAAGTCTCATTGAAAGTGTGGATGAGGCCATTTCCGTTGAAATTGAAACTACAGTCAAAGTTGAATGGAAAAGCTTTTTGGAATTAAAAGTCGGAATGAATTCAATGACATTATAGGCGAGATGAGAAGGAGTAGAAAGATGAGGTAGGAAAAAGAGAAAAGTGAAGAGACGAGAGAGAAGGAAGAGAATGAAGAAAAGGAGTAGAGGAGAGATAGGTAGAAGAGTAAGGAGAGGGAGAAGGAGAAGGAGGTGGGTAAAGTCATGGAGGAGAGAGAAGGACGAGAATTGGGAGAAGGATGAGGAGGATTTGGAGGAGGTTAAGAGAACATCGTGTGTAGGTTCTGTGAACACGTATCGCGTGGCGTGGAAACATAATTCCCATCGTATTTCATGTACATTTTTTGTCCCCTAGTTGTGCTCCCTGTTATGAGTTTGAGAAGCTAGGCTATGTGAAATTCAATTGAAATGTGAAGCCTACTCACATCATTATGGCATAATTCAATCTCATAACTTAAAATGAAAAATGGTGAATACTTTTCTTATTCAAGCTCTACTTAAAATGAAAATAAGTAGTTTAGTCGATCGCTATTAAAGTTATAATTTAGCTTCATCGATAATCCCACCACAGAAAGTGATATGGGAAAGGCATGGCCTAGCTTGAACTTCACTTCTCATTAGTTACCTGAGGACGCTTGTGGAAGTGTGACGTAATAGTCAACTTGTTCATACTCTACGTTGTACAATCACACTCTGGGTTCAAGCCCTGGTGGAGGTACTGGTGAGACAAGGTTAGGCGATGTCGAGGCTTCAATCCTCCAGTCCAGTCTAGTCTGGATGAAAATACCGTTGGGAAGCAAGGCTATGCGAGATCGAAAGAAACAAATCGTGTAATTGTGGGAAGATTGAACTACCAGTCCTTCTTCACCTTAAATAAAACATAGTAAACACAATTATTATGCAATCTCCTTCCCAGTTGCTAACACTCCACCTGCTTCTACTTTTTTTTCCAGGTTGTCTGCTCTATCATGGCTCTGTTTCAGCGCATCTTGCTCTGTCGCGATGTACGTACCGCCTTCTTGGAGACTGGGGCCCTGTTGCTTGCATTACCGTTTCTCGGTCCGGCGGGTGATCGACCCGGCGCCAGCCACGAAGCTGAACAGTTGCGCATCAGTCTACTCAGCCTATTGGCAACGGCAGCTAGGAAGCTGGAGTTGCATGAAATGGAACGGTATATGCTGCAGATGCCGGCTAGCAGCACATCCTTCGACGATAAAGAAGAAGACACCTCTGATGCCTCTGAGAGGGGCTCACCTGCTAAAGACTCACCATTACGCCAAGGTGCCCAATTCAAAAGTAACCTGTTGCAAGGCTTATTTATTTTCACTAACGTCATCATGCTACTTAAATAGCTACTTTAGAGTATTGCTTGCATTTTCTGTGTATTATTGGGTTTTCGTGATTTCCACTGAATGTATTTCGTTTAAAGCGATGGAGGACTGATGGTTGAATTCCACCACGATTGAATGAATAAGTCTCCTATTTCGATTGCCTTGTTTCCTTAAAGTTATTCTTATTCCGACAGGGATGGACTACAGTTTCGACTTTGAGAGGTCGAAATTGGCTTACAGTATAACCTGGATTATAATATCCTTTGGGAAGCAAGCCTATGTGAAATTGAATTAGGATGAGACTAGGCTGAGGTTATGTCCTTCATATTATTCGACAAAAATTAGCAGAACCTGAACCCATATTTGCACAAGCTTCAATTCTACACAAAGTCTAGAAGTCTCACCGAAATGTAACAAATGTACTTACTACACACATACCCACAAATATATATACACACCTACAAATACGGGCAAACAAACACAGGTGTGATTACTTGGATTAATCATTCTATGCCCATCTATGTCCATCTATCCAGCTATCTATCCAGCTATCCAGCTATCTATCTATCTATCTATCTATCTATCTATCTATCTATCTATCTATCTATCTATCTATCT